ATACTTACAATACTGAATACAATAAAACACTGTGACACACTTAGTATGTTTTCTGATTTTCGGATCAATTTCATATATTTTTGCTCATTTCACGAGGCCCAAGAGAACCGCAATCAGAACCGAACCGAACTGTGAAATACAATAACCGAACCGAACCGTGAAATCTCAAACCGTGTAACCCCTAATATATAATGATAATTTAGTTAATCAGACCTAAGTGATATTGAAGGGGCAATGGACCAATCAACATACTTTTTCAAAAATGTTGACCTAATTTTCACCCAAAATGCAACCTATTATTATATTGTTGAATGCATAATTAGAATGTGCTTTGAGACATGTTGGATTTCCTAAAAGGAAAATTTGATTGTTCCAGGGACTTTAAAGATATTCAATTTGGATGACCAAAATGACTGAAACCAATGGATAGCATGAGATTTTTCAATGGAGAAATAACATGGGGAACACTTATCTTAATGCAATTAAGTTTTTCTTTCAAGAACTATTTGATACATCAAAATAAAAAATAGAAATGCATTTTTGGTGAAAATGGGGTCAACATCTTTGAAAAAGTGTGTTGATGGGTTAATTGCTAGTTAAATATCTCTGAGTTTGTTTGAATTTATTATTACTGTGCATAATTTTCTTTGAGATAATGAATTGATCTTAAAGATTAACTTGTCTCCATTGTCAGAAAATAGTCATAATCCAAGATATAAACTACTGAAATTGTTTGCCACACGCTCCTTTTCAAAAGTATGCTGAATAATCAACCAAATACTGTTAAACAGTATTATACGAGGCAGAGCAGAGGGTAGTTTATAACTATGCAGGGTAAAAATCAAAAAAACATAATTCAGTTAGCTTTCCTTTTTTTCTTGTTTAGTTAGATGACATTAATTCGCATTAGTCCTTTTCAAATAAGTTCATTGCAGAAATTACTGTTCTCTTACATGCCCAAGGTGATGCCACATTTTCTGATCACGCCAGTAAATAAACTCAACAGTTCTCTGTGGATGAGGACTAGAATAACTAGAATAAGAACAGCATACTTATCTAATGCCTCAAATTGATCACTGTTGTGTATTAAATATAACACCTACTTATCAATGGTCATGCTTTTTTCATGGCATTCCTCTCATAAGTTACTAATTTCCTTATAATATTGTATTGAAACATAAACTAGTACTATATATTCGGCTACTTGATCCTTAAGCTGTTCACTTCTCTTATATTTCTATTAGATTTTCTTACCCTTTGTTGTGTTTTACTTGCTGGAATTAAATAATGATTTCATCTTTCCCAGACAAACAGCTGTATATTTAACCAATAAGATTTATCATACAAGGTTAATACTGTCATAAAATTACAAACGGAAGAGAGAGAATTAGATAATTACACCAGTGTTTCTCAGTTTTGTCACGATCCTATATCAAATTTCAGATACTGAGTTATTACACACCAGTTTTTCACACCAAATTATGTTCTTTTCTAAAGCAAATAGCTTATTTTATCGTATCTGATGTCAGCTTAATTTTTTTCCATGTCATCTTAATTTCTTCTATTTGCGGGACATACCTGATGTATTGATCCTGCTCTTATATTGTATGTCAGTCATCTCTCGGGAATCCTTTTATTGAAATGACACATTTTGATTCCTCTTTTTTCTTTAAAGAAATGTTCAATTCTTCTTAATGGCAGGCATTGACAACTTCATTTGAACTTAAGATCTGTTAAATACGCCTACCTTTTGACTCATCTCAATTCACTCTGTTACGAGTCAAGTTGCGATATGATACATCTTTGTATATTAGAGTAATATGCTCCTGTTATCGGAGATATAATTGTTTCTTTTTCTCGCTAACATGAGGTACGAGGGTTGATCAATAAATTTTGCAAATGACTGTTAGTCGGAAATATGAAACATATTACATTCCTGCTTATATCACAGAAATTTAGGTTTCATGATTCAAACAATTATTTTTTAATTTAGAGGGTCACTAATTTATTGAACACCACATGTATATCTTATCTCCTTAGTATATCTTGGCTGACTTGCCAGAAATCCCCATCCAAGCAATTACATTCCCATACTACTTTCTTTCCGCTGTCATGTTTTAAAGAGTGGAATCAGCAAGGAATACAGTTAACAAACGTGTAGTCAACACTACAAATTATACAAAAGTACAAGAAAATTAGGCAGTTCATTTTATAGAGAAAAGAAAAGAGAGATAATTCACAGATTTATTTTTCATACATTGTAAAAAAAATGCAAGAGAATAATTGCCAAGAATTATATGAAATTAAAATAAAAGAGTTTGCAAGGGAAGCAACTTGTCTGCAGTTATACAAGTGAAACTAATTAGTTCCAAAGTACAAGTGTTAATTGTCCCTATTATCAAAATGTATTTTATTATCACCATGTCAACCAAGTTTGTTGTGAAACTCTCTCATAATCACGAGGGGTGGGGCAGGTTGAAACGTCATGATTCTACATTATACATAGCAATTCTTAAAAAAATTAGGGCTGAAAAATTACATCCATTGCTGCAATGTCAATAAGTTTTCCTCACACAATAAAAACATAAAGTCAATTGCTATTTCATGTAATCTTAAGCCCTGAATACACTGACAGGTGAAATACTTGAAATGGGGGCAAAACAGCTGAACTGCTTGAAATGGTTGAATTGAAAGTTAAAGTGAAAATGGCTCGGGCAATTGATTGAAATACTTGAGACAGCGAAACAACTAGTACTGTAATTTTATTTTCCAAGATGTATCAATTGAAACGATTGAAACGAGAAACATTCATGTTCGTTTTTTTCTTTTTATTCGTTTTGCCTATTTCTTCTTAAATTGGTCATATGATTGAAATGCTTGAAAGGGGAAACAGGCACAAGCAGCGAAACTTTAATTTCATATTCAAAGGTATATCTATTGAAATGCTTGAAATGATGCAAGCATTAAAATGATTAAAACGTGATTTACGGTGTATACAGGGCTGAAGTCACCTTTTTCTAATGACAAAAGGCTATGTTACTCAAGTAAATGTCCATCATAGTTTTCTTAAGCGTCATAGATAATCTTCAATAGCTAAATCATTCAATGTTCAATTCATAGAATTTATAGAATATTCCTTCAATTAATTCATTATTGAAGTAATTCCCCGGGAAAATGTTCATCAATGTTTCTCCGGGGTACTTGCTTGTTTCAAATTGAGGCTGACCTGTAAAGATATGAACATGTGTGATTTGTCTGCAAATTACACTGTTTTTAGCCAAATGCGAAGCAGATTGAAGGCTTTATTGCGCTAAGAAGGAAACTACAGACATTTCTTCAGCTACTGTAGATTGGGTTAATTTGGCGCCCGCTTTAATTTGGCTTATTTGGCGAAATTGAAAAATTCGCCAATATAAATCTCCGCCAAAATTTAGAATGAATCCCCGGGAATCATCTAGGGTATTTCGTCCAGTGTATTAAGGTCACTTCCGGTTTATTTTTCCAAAAATATGAAAAAATGTCTCTCATAAATTGGCTCAGAACTAGTCAGTCACTCATTTATACTCAGGGAAAAGTAGCAGCATCGATTGAGGTGTAAAATGTAAAGGATGATCTCACAAAAATGTACAAACGTGGTGAATATCGCCAGTGGTCCTCAAAAGAAAAAATGAACATAGCCAAACATGCCCATTTAAATCTAGATCTACATGGTATTTCGCAAACAGCGCGTAAGTTTAACATTCCATTAACATTTTTTTTGCATATCCGCCAAATTAAATAGCCGCCAATATGCCAAAAATGGCAAAATCGCCAAATTAAGTAGCGCCAAATTAACCCAATCTACAGTATATGGAACATTATGTGTCATCCTCAAGCAAAACAGGCTGACATTTTAGCATAATTAAAACTTTGATTTTTTGCAAATTTTTGTAGATCGTGTTCATTTCTAATTTGTATTTTATTCCATAAACCTCAAACAATGGGGAAAACAACCTACTTTTTCTCCATAGAGATAATTGTTAAACTGACAAAGTTTGAATTATAATTACTCAAATCTAAGCCTATCAAACCCTTTCATTCGTTCTCATCCTGTTATCTGACATAGTTAACAAATAAAAAAAGATTTAGCATTGATTTTATGTCTGTAAAAAGCATGTTGGATGTGATTATGCCACCGATTTACTGAGACTACCAAAAATATAATTCAACTTGTGGGTTGAAAATTGTAATCTGTCAGCCATCCCTGACACGCCTATAAGCTATTACCACAGATTAATTGTCAATACATGTACACATTTATATGTCATACATCTACAAGTAACTTGTGTTTTAAGTACTACTTTCCTCATATCATGAACAAAACAAATGTTATGTGAGTAAACAATTGACAACAATTTCAACATACACTACCTGTACTACCTTTTTAGTTGACCATACTGCAGTGACATCTTTAGATAATGCCATTTTAAACCATTAAAAACACATCAATTCCAATGTATCTAAGAGCAAAAGGATGTAATATATTTCTTATTATATTGTTCAGAAAAAAACAAGTCTCTCTGAATACCACCATTTCCAGAATTCTATCATTCTAATGTCTGAGCAAACGTAAATACATGCACACAATGCTGTTTCTCTCTAGGGATTACAAATTGTCATCTTGTTCTGGCTCTAGAAGGAAGCAAGTTAATCTCACTTTATATTGTACACTGTACTGTCAGTATAGTCAGTTGTTATACAGTATAGTATCATGTAAGTGTGTGTTGAACCTTCCAACGTCTTCATTTCTAGTGTCTACATCATTCTGATACTCATTGAGTCATTTTTCATGGATGCGTTCTGAACCACTGAAAGTCTTTATTTCTAGATTCAATCATAGTTTCCATATCTTGCTTTGTGAGGGGGGAATTCAAGTGCCTTACTTAAGGACATTAAGACATTTTTTGCATACTGTCAAACGTTAAGCACTTTTTAAATTTTAGATAAAGAAAACAACTTACTTATTTCTCTTACGTGAATAATCAGGCGAGCAACGAGTGCCAGGTAGTCATCCTAAAAAAAGAAGTCAAATGTTATTCAATGTTTGGTATAGTATACAGCAGAACTTGTCTTAGGAGAACAACTTTGGTACCTCTAAATAAAATATATAGAGGATATATAGAGGATCATTTATCATTAAGTCAGTTGGTGTTGGGACTCTGAAAAGTGTTCCACAGACAGAGGTGTTCCACTTCTAGAGATGTTCCACATTACATTGTTTCACTGTATGTTATCTCCAAAGCATAAGAACAACAAGATACTGCAAGTACATCATGTCATCATGTTGAAAATCTGCATCCAATCAAGAATTTGAGATATTAAGATAATAGGGCCTGAGTATTTCAACCAAAACAGATAACATTAGTAATAGAATTAAGTATCCAGTTGTGTATGATTTCATACTAACTTGTGATACATAAGCATACATAAAGAAAGTTGGGACATTTTTTGGCCAACCTCATGGAATATCAAATAGAAAATGAAACTTACTCTGGACTTTGATCTTTGGAAAACATGGTTTTCCATCTCGGGACTCGACTTATTCCCAGGGTTCCCTGCAGCCCGTAATGCATCATCGCTGAAATATATATTAATTTCTTTAACTGTACATGTATTTAACTATTATTTCAGACCACAAAAAAAAGTATAAAAAAATTTTGGAAACAAAACTATATTTGGAGAGCGACCTTGAGAATTTCTATTCAAACTGCCACATTTTATCAAACGAAATTCAAATAAAAACCTAACTATTCAATTTCAAAACAGGAATGAATGATGTAGAAGTCAGAAGTCAGACAATTTTCAAAAAATATCAGAACTACAGTAGTACCTGCTTAGTAGAACACCTCCACAAGTCGAACGCTTTTTCAAAGTCCCATTTTAAAAACCCATTGACTAAATGTTAATTGAACCTCTATAAGTGGAACACCTCCAAATTTGAACGACCCATACTGAAACATTATCCTGCTAAGTGGACCCATGGGCTTTCAAGAGAGCCTGTTGAAAGCCCATGGTGGAACAGTCAATTTTTCATAAATTCAACATGTTATGCTACCACTAATAATTTGATAATCAGCAAATTAGGATTTACTAAGATTATCATTTACTTTGAGATTTTAGTTTTTGCATCGGAAATATGTCAGCAATTTTCAAAATGTCGGAAGGGGAATTCCCCAGGGATTTCCCTTATGACTGGTGCATGCCGGGAACTGAATGGAGGAATTTGACGGTTGAAATAAGTTAAATATTACACGCAAATATTGCTATCAAAAACAAAAATATCTTCGTTCTGCCGATAAACCCATAGGCAAAGGCCTATAGGAATATTTTTTAAATAAAGATGGCATGGTAATCGATCTGTGTTTATTTATAATAAATTCTCTTCAGGTAATCAACGGGAGCCTAAGTGATACTTTTAAAATCCACATTTCGCCCCTAAATGCCGATCGTTCTTGTGAAACAGCCCTACTGTTTGATAAAAGACATATCCATATACATACTAGAGTCCATTTCACTGCTTCATTTCGTCAGTAGAACGGCAAAAATAAGAAATTGGGAGACCATTGTGCAATAATATATGGAAAAGTTTATTCATAATGTACATGAATGACATTTGTATATTTCAGATTTTTTAGTTTTTTGTGCAATAAGCCTGTGCCGTCTTGTAATTTGAAGAATTTCGGCCATGTTAATCTTATTGAAAATAACATGGCAGAGAAACATCCAAATATAAGAGGCCACACACTTTATAAGCCAAACTAGAAGCAATCCAAGATATACAAATGTCATTCATGTACAATAGGAATAGACTATATTTTTCCATATATTAGAGTTGCAAAATGATATTTTGATTTCTTATTTTTTAGCTTTTACTGACGAAGTTAAACAGTGAAATGGACTCTAAGTGTGTAGTGTCGATCAGACACTAACTGAAATAGGCATAATATGCCTAAGAACAGCAAAATTGTGGTTTGCGAAATTGGCCATGGCAGATTTCGAAAGTGAAAGTGAAATAAACACAGGATGAGGAAGTTGAGAAACACTGAAATTCATGTCATTCAACGAGGTTATTATGACATATGATGTATAAAATGTCCAAATTAGAATGTAAAGAGATAGCACATTTACATAACTACAATTTGACTCACATTTGTTGAACGACCTTGCGTCTAAACCCTTCTGACTTCCAATCTCCCGAGGCAGGAAAACTATCAGACATTTCGTGTTGCATATTAATGTCTCATACCCTTACAATTTTAAATAAGTGTTTCCTATTTATTTTGCAAATATCCATGATCTGTGACGTTTATACATATTTTACTTTCAAATGATTAATAAAATGTCAATAATATTGACATATCACATATATTTAACTGCATCAATGATGCTGTCATCATCAAAACTAAATGGAATATGTTCAAAACTTCAAGTATGAGACACCAGTCTCGTTTTGGAATTCAAGATGTCAGCCTCCATTAAAAATATTGAAAAGTTCTAAATTTGTAAATAAATTTGTTTTACAAAACACTTGAAAGTCTAAATCAATCACTACACATAATTATCATAATGGGTTTACATCCCCTTGTATTATTATCCGTTGTGGTTGGAGCAATAGCCGTTTTACTATCACTGGACACGTTTGAAGATATCAGGAATTTATTTCTGTCAAATTCTGCCAAAATAAGTCAATATCTCACTTTACATTCCTCAGATGCTACAACTGGATCAAAGTATGGACGCATATTTACTAAAGCGGAGTTATCGCGATACGATGGTGAAGATACGAGCCCTGGATTGTACCTTGCCATACTGGGAAAAGTTTACGATGTATCTAAAGGTCAAAAGCATTATGGACCAGGTGGTGGATATCACTTTTTTGCAGGTACTAGTGTAACACATTGCAATATTTTTTGTCATCGTCTGTTTGTATTACAATAGATATGTTCTCATATGCACTGTTAAGGTGCCATGGAAGTTAACAGGAAATGACAAAACAGGAAGTGACAAAGCCATGCTGGATTTTGAAAATTTTTTGAAGCAAGATATCAGAGTTCTGTTTGGACCTCTAGTCAGTTTTACTAGTTCCACATATCATTTACATGACTGGGAACACAATGGAAATGGTCAGAATGACCATAAAAATGATGAAATAACCTTTTCAGCCCTCTGAAAATGTGACTGAAAAATAGCTAAAAGTAGGTGCTCAGGAAAGGTCACTGAACAGAATCTTTCGATTTTTTCAGAAAACGTGTCCAATATATTGCTCTAAATGATACAATCTTTGAAATTTAAAAAAATTATCTGAAACAATAATGGCTGTAGTAAAAAGGTAAATCGATTGATTTTCAATTCAGTTTTTTTCATTTTTTTCTTTTTCTAAGAATGATATCAAATTTTTTTAAATTGTATCATTGTAAGCAATATATTGGGCAGATTTTCTGAAAAAGTCAAAAGATTCTGTTTAGTGACCTTTCCTGAGCACCTACTCTTAGCTGTTTTTCAGGCACATTTTCAGAGGGCTGAAAAGGTTATTTCATCATGTTTATGGTCATTCTGACCATTTCCGTTGTGTTCCCGGTCATGTAAATGATATGTGGAACTAGTTAAACTGACTAGAGGTCCAAACAGAACTCTGATATCTTGCTTCAAAAAATTTTCAAAATCCAGCATGGCTTTGTCACTTCCTGTTTTGTCATTTCCTGTTAACTTCCATGGCACCTTAAGTGCATTAATGCGCCTCTGGGGCTTTATTTATATATCCAAGATTTGTCTAGTGACCTTATTAAAACTCCTAAAGTCAAAAAGTCACTAGAGGCTTCCACGTCTTTGTTTGAAGCTGTTGGATGTTAGAGTGTGCCGAATACAGTTAATTATTATTATAATTTGGTAAATTACCAATTCTGTGTAAGATTGTCATTTTAAAAATTCATTAATAACCATGCAACTTACCATGTTTCATTTGGTTTGATATTTCCATTGGCTTTCAATAGATGGCGGCAATGTTTGCAGAATTTAGTATAGCCTCATTCATTGACAGAATCTGATGACATATTAAATCCTAATTTTAAATTCACTTTCTCTGATCACAGGTCGAGATGCGACTGCTGCATTTGTAACGGGAAAGTTTGAAGGAGAGGGATTAACTGATGACGTCAGTAATCTAAGTCCAGAAGATATGATAGGAATTGAAGAGTGGATGACGTTTTATGAAAAAGATTATACTTATGTAGGTGAGTGTATGTTTCTTTCATGCTGAAAATGTCAAATGGAAACACATCACTTGTATTGTCTTATTTTGGGTATAGAAAGGAGGGGGAGTTGTTTGCAGATTTTGAGATAACAGGAAAGTAAATCTTTAATACACACCTTTTTGTAGAGCTGGCATCGAATGTCGGAATGGTCGATTGTCGGTCAAATGCTCTCTGCGACACCCATGTCGACACAATGCCTCTTGATCGACAGTCGGAACTCACAACATAATAAGCTATTTCCCTATGAATTAAAATCTTTGTTACTACCTGCTGTATGGTGTATTTTAGTGAAGTTTTATCGCCTACATTTTCAAATTTTCTTTTTTGTTTTGATCGACTTCCTGCTCTCGAATTAGGTCTCGGGGCCCCTCGAGATTTACCCTCGAGATTTATTTTCAATGGTTGCCCGGAAATAACAACAGAAATCGTAGTTTTATGTCTATTTATTGCTTTTTCGTCAAAGTCTGATACTTGAACATGGTTTACCTGTAAGGTAAATATAAAACATACAACTGAGGATGACTATTGTGCATCGTATTGCTAATTACAAGCCTAGAAAATCTAAAATTCAGACGGATTTTCTTCAAAATTTTTTTCATTTTTCGAATATCATTGGACCCGACAATGTCGATATCGTTGTCGATCGAGAGCTCCGACATGTCGACATTAAAATCCTATTCGATGCCAGCTCTACCTTTTTGGGTGCGATATAAACCAAAACAACCCAATGAGGTATCAGTGCTTTCAGTAGGTTTGTCCAAGAGTGCGTCCCTGGGACCGGATTGATTTTCAAAAAGTGAGTCCCCCCTCTAAAAAGTGCATCCATCCTTGGAATTCAAAGTCACATTTTTACACTGAACGAAAAAATTGATGAAAAGTAATATCAGCCTAAATCAGCATTCTACAAACATCTAGAAGGTCACTAAATGATATAGGTACCTTCTCTTGAAAGAGATAACTAATGTTCAACCATTAAAACACATTTTCTTTTCGTATTTCGAAGCAATTTCCACGAGGGGCAATCTACGCAAGGTTCCATTTATAAGTTTCGTTTTATGCGCATGCGCAACAAATCCAGTAATATGATTAGTTGAAATTATTAAGACGCATGCACGATCAACAATCATGGCCAATTAGCAAAGGACCGATAACCGCTCGGTATTGTAGCAACTACTTATTGATTGTCCTATTACAGGCCTCATACTATTTCGATCGGAAATCAACTTCCAGAAAAGAAACTTAGAAAGAAAATGTCGTATATGTATTTCTTTTAGAAATAGAATATCTTTTGTTTATTTAGTGGATTTTGACCAAATAAAAGACTGAAGGTAAGATCTTTTTCCGAGTCTATCAATTTTGTTAATGAAAACACAGGACTTTGCGTCCAAGGGACGGATCATTAAATTTTTTTTGGAGTCCCTTCAACAAAATCTGGATCCTCATAATGTTAAGGATGCCTTTTGAAAGCCCTGGTTGCAGGCCTGTCAACTGTCCCGCATTTTGCGTATTTGTCACGCATTTGCTGAAGAATTTGAAGTCACGCCAGTTATTTTTGCGTGACAGAAAATGTCACGCAAATACGCATTTTACCTGGTAATTGTCAAGCAAAAATATTTCTGCAGAAAAATTTCTAAAAAAGATCGTCTACACAGCAAAAGTACGAACGCCGGAAAAAAATGTACGCATTTCGTTCGGACTTTTCACGCGAATTACGTATATGTCACGCATTCCGTTCGAAATTTTTCGTACCTATTTTGGGGAATTATATGTTGCAATCTTATAGTCACTAAAATGATTTAAAGTGTATTGATGTTTTTTTGGATGAAAAACATTAGAGAAATTCTTGAAAAATTCCCCTGATTCATTCTACAAACAACTCCTCCTCCTTTGTAAAACAGGTTATCTAAACAATTTATTTGATTTCAGTCATTGTAAGTTTTTGTGTTTAATTTTATCTACAAATTGTATCGGTATTACAAGGCAATGCTCTCCCATTTTATCCATATATTGTATCTGTGTAGGCAATGCTCTTCAGAAGACCAAAATGCCCCTTTATTAACTCAAAATGCCTCCTAAAATGACAAAAACTTAGCAAATTCTAAATTAATTTACAAATAACAGATGTCTTGGTCATGTTAATAAATCCTGGTGAGGGCTTTGAATGGTATCGAAAACAATTTGTATTTTTTAAAAATAGTCATTTATTTCTGCAATGCAGGAAAACTAGAGGGACGATATTATGACAGACACGGAAATGCTACTACAGAATTGTTGATTGCTCAAGAAAAGATTCACGAAGGTCATCAAGTTAAAAAAGTAGAAAGTGATGACAAAACTTTATATCCAATGTGCAATTCTGCATGGACTCAAAAAGATGGAGCAACGGTTTGGTGTACAAATAAAAGGTATTTCCCTTCCTCCTTCTCCTGTCAATACCACTTTAATTGCCAATAAAAGGTATTTACCTTCCTCCTTCTGCTGCCAATACCACTTTAATTGCCTATAAAAGGTATTTCCCTTCCTCCTTCTCCTGTCAATACCACTTTAATTGTCAATAATAAGTATTTCCCTTCCTCCTTCTCCTGTCAATACCACTTTAATTGCCAATAAAAGGTATTTCCCTTCATCCTTCTCCTGTCAGTACCACTTTAATTGCCAATAAAAAGTATTTCCCTTCCTCCTTCTCCTGTCAATACCATTTTAATTGCCAATAAAAGGTATTTCCCTTCCTCCTCCTGTCAATACCACTTTAATTGTTAATAATAAGTATTTCCCTTCCTCCTTCTCCTGTCAATACCACTTTAATTGCCAATAAAAGGTATTTCCCTTCATCCTTCTCCTGTCAGTACCACTTTAATTGCCAATAAAAAGTATTTCCCTTCCTCCTTCTCCAAAAATTAAAATTAATTTAAAATTTAATTGCCAAAAATGCTTAAGTGGCTGGCATTTAAGTTTCTCTACTATTGGGAATATTTATACTTGTTTGACTTATTTCCTGACAGTGCCATGTTTTATACGATATTTTCCTGAAATAAGTTTTTTTGATTTTTTTGAATTGACAATATATGCCTTTTGGTGTCTCTGTATTTATCATGCTGCAATTTTGTACATACTTTTATAGGATTAATAATAATCATAACAATTTACTGAACTATAAACAGATAAAATGAAATCACCTCACCTTTTATTGTGTACAGAGTTTTCAAAATTGATAGTATGAATCAATATATTTTTGCTACCTGCACAATTTCAAATATATTGTAGTTTGGTGTGCATTACAAATAAATAAAATTAACAATATCGAAAATGTCCTTTCTATCTCTGATTCTGTCAACAGGAGGATATCCCATAAGTAACTAAACGAACCTGTAGTTGTAATTATTATATCACAACCACATGTGGTGACATATTGTTAATAGTCTCCAACTTTTTTGTATTCACCGGTCAGAGTTTGGTGTCTGTAACAAATGGCAGGTGGAGACACTTTGAATGTTAATGCCTTGTGATTACTTTTGGGATACCCTGAATGATTGAAATCTTATTACTATTTCCAGTGGAGGCAAACAACGGGACTGGACAGGAGTACCCAGGAAATACTACAAACTGGGAAGCAGTGAGTATAGATGTGCCTGTATAAGAACAACTGGTCCACCTGGAGATGACCCCACATCTGCATTGTCATCAGGAGATTTATTAAACCCAATGTTTAAACCATACAAGAATTGCCACGAGCATGCAATTACATGTAAAGTGGTTGACGATTAGTTGGATGTCTGTTGTGATCTCACAAGGCAATGTTCTATAGTGAACTATGCAAAATATGAATTGGCAATCTCAAGGATGGAATACGTAGGACATGCAAGGATTATGAAGTTTATGATTAATTTATTGAAAAGTAAAGCAAGCTACTTTATCCGATGTGCAATATCCATAAAATTGTAGTTCCAGTCATTTACATAAATGACTTGTACTTGTATACTTTTATGATTAGGAAGATACCACTGGATTAGTGTGCAATCACTAGAACTATGATCTGTAATTCAATTTTGATAGTATTTTCTGAAATCCTTGTCACACATTTTTAAGAGAAGTTGCACATTAATGCGTAGAATTATGGTTCTTTTACAATAATAAAAACACAAAGCTTATATTAATGTTTTTATGTCAATGTCAAAGTAACTTAAAGTTTAATAACTTGATTGCAACATTTTGTCTCATATAACCTGAATGTCACATTTTGTCACATACAGCTTGAATGTGACATTTTGTCACATATAACCTCGTTAATCTATTGCTTATTTGTCAGTTTCCTCTTTAATCAATTTGTAAATTTTTGTGATTGGAAATACTGTTGTAATTTTACTATACTTGTTGTTTTAATCACACCACTGCTCAGTATCAAGCGAAGGTAAGGTATAAAGGCATTTCGTCAACTATAAAGTAGTTTAATTAAATTTGATGAAAACTAAAAATATTGAAATCGACACTTCCAATCCGCCATCTTAAATGATACTGACCAGTGCACACATAATCCATGTTGTATTGTTACTCACTGTTGCTAGAAAGCGACATGTAGATTCAAAATTAAAACTCAGTGATCCTGAACACATTTATAGCGAGGGAGAAAGTTCATATAAAATTATAAAATCTTCCAAAGGAAGATTGTCTCCCAGGGTTCCAAATCGATATTCTGCCATCTATGGGAACGTCGTGATTACAAAATTTGAATTCAAACTGTCACCAATTTGTTCACTGCAGAATTTGAATCACAAGTTTTGGTCTTATTTCCAAACAAGAAAGAAGTGATTGGGATATTGGTTCGAATCTTTTGGACTGTTGATTATGAATTTTTAGTTAGTTATAATTTCTGAAAATAACGACATTCTGACATTTTCATTGTTGGAAAATATCAAGTTGCTTCTCTGGGACCCAATCCTCCTTGTGTGGAAGACTGCTGTGCAAAACATTTTGAAATGCCCTTGGCTCATTTTTATTGTTTTAGTAACATTGTAAAATCTTGTTACATGTATCACCTATCCCTGTCCCTTTAAAAATTGATCCACTCTTTTAAGGATCACAGTTGTAAGGTTAAGTCACAATCTGCAGGACAGTGCAAGTTAACAAAACCATCTAGCCAATGGAGTTTTACATTAATTGAATTGGAAATATTTGGAAGTCAACAATTTAGCAAAATGGTGATATTTTGTAGGATGGAATCATTTGTTAGTTAACTTAATGGCAATATTAAAAGAGCCTCTTAATCAAGATGACTATTAAGATTACATAATAACATGGCTTACAATAATAACAACATATTTAAAAAATATTTCTATGTTCCATATTTTATTTGAATAAAATGTGATTCAACATTTGGTTGCTTATGTTAAACATTTGAAATGGCACTGATATGCCTACTGAGGGCATCCTTTGCATATGCATTGTATTTTCATTCATGAAATAAGCTATTGTACCAAGACACTTTATTTAAAGGTCTTTTGGAAGAAAGAATTGCAGAATATCATGTATCTGCACTCTGCAGTCAATTCTCTCGAAGTGTTGAAAGTCTGATCTAAGTATACAATCAAATTACTCTAGATTTTCAGAAATGATTTCATTGAACAAAAATAATTTATTAATTTATTTTCTTTTGTAGGGGCTAATATCAACATTCTTAAGAATTTTGTGATTAGCCAAGCTAATAGTACAACCCCCTCCCCTTTCATATGTTCCAACATCATGAAAATATAACTAAAACTGTTGGAGAAACATTTTTTTATTTTTCAATAATATTGTAAAGTCCATCTTAACATGTATTACATGTAATACAAAAATATTATTGTAACAAACCTCCACCTTTGTCCAACTGATATAATTGTACAATTAACAAGCACTGTACAATTTACAATTTTATACAAATATTCAAATACTGTATTTTACAATACTGTGCAATCTATTCTGTTTATTAGAAACAGTACAATTTTTAGTTTTGTATTGTATTCAAAACTGCATATTTTACAAAACTGTGCTGTATAATTTGTAAATATAGATATGTGAATAAAAACCTACAACTTGTATTTTATTATTTACTGTACAGCCTCCATGGAGTTGTAATAACCCCTTTAAATAGAGTTAACTAATGGAAGCAAGCAATCTTTTCAGAAATTGTGCTTAAATGTTTTTCTTACAATTCTAATTTTATTTTCGGACAAAAATAATCAAGACGACTGATCAAATCTTCTGACTATGAAGCATGTTCATCTGTGTTTAATGTCTAATATTCCACTTTCTCAACAAAGTAGGCCTGAGCAAGACCTTAGATAATAATGATATCTTAGCACTGAGCCAAAAAACTCATAACATTAAGGTCATTTGCTTAATGTAAAATAAATTGAGCACCATCTAAATTTGAACCATTTATTGCAGCTGTGCGCCAAACTGATAATTTGCACATAATTTTCTGAATCACAATTATAAATACATAAAAACGGCACTAATAATGACTAAATGTCAGCAACTAGTAAGCTATTGCGGATGGTTACAAGCATGTAACACCCTGTTACAGATGCCGACACTGATGGTCAGTTACGGTGGCTATAACAGTAAGTCGCCACTTCTAAGTGGTGACACTACAATGCTGAGCATTTGTAAATATTAATTTCTCATTAATTTTACTTCACTATAACAATGAAGTGCAAAATATTGCATCAAATTCTCAAGTACAAAAACAGTTTGAAGTGCTGCTATGCAATGGATAACTAACAAGAATTCGAACATGACTGTATTCGCGCCTTCTATAAACTGTGAACAAAGTCAACATTTCACCCGGGGCATATTCGCGAGCAATATCCCTGGTAATACAAGTAATGTGTGACGTCACATGGCGGGCTATAGTAATGGCGGACCATAATGAATATTTGTAACATTTTGGTGAGTTTTCATGTTCAAATCGCAATATAGACCTCAGAGCAGGTGTAATATCGTAGAATACACCCCTTAGGGCTAGGCACAAAAGCTTTCAAACCCCTCACTCCCTTCAGTCGTTCGGGGTACAGAAAATGTTTGTGCCTAGCCCTGCTGGGTGTATTCAACAATATTAACCCTGCTCTTTGGTCTATATTTCTTAAATAAAGATATGCAAATTCACATTTCCATTATAAAGCAGACATATAAACCCCATATAATTATTTTTTTTTTTTTATTTATGTTTTATTTAATACAATAATATATGTTAAAAGAAGAAAATTTCCAAAAAGGCGACTTGGTTTAACATTATAAGTCGCATAATTATATGAACCAGACATTTAAATACTTCTGAGAAATTCTGAGAAATTCACCTCCCAAATGAAATTTTTTTTCTAAATGTTTTGATCTGTATTTATTTAGCTGGTCCCAGTAAAAACTTTTAAACCAGAGTCCTAATAAATGGACACGTAGCCAGTCTCAGCAAACAAACACCAACCCCCTCCCTGGCCAAAAATTTCTTTCAAAATCATGCAATTCTCACAATTCTGAGCATTTTCAAGTTGTTTTGGGCCAAAGTTTTTTTGAAAAGTTTGCCCCCCCCCCCCCTTGACAAAAGATGGTTAGGGGCCTGAATTCCAACATAAAGGTTGTGAAGTGTGTAAAATTGGATTACCTGGATCCATTTTGGCAGAACATTAATATTGCAACAATCTAATGGAAGACAATACCTTGTTATGTTATTCATGGTGACTTTACTTTGCAATGTGGCAGGGTGATATAGTGTATTAATCAATTTGGCCATTCAAAGTAAGCCCTTCCTCATAACATTAAACATATAATTAATTTTGAATTGCTTTCGGGGCAAATGTAATTATGTCATATCATTAGTTAGGAGCTCATGATATAATTATTTGAACGTTTTGCCTCCTAACTAATATTACCAGCTTAATGGAAGTGTTTTAACCAAACACCAAGTAATAAATATCGCACTTTGAAGAGCAAAATGGCTGCCATGGAATTTACCCAACATGCCCAAAACATAATCAGATCTTTGCACTTGTCCGCTCTTGTATCTGTAAAATTTCAAGTTAAACAGAAAACTGGTTATCCTGAAATCTGATGACAAGATTCATGAAGTGGCCACCCACATGCACCGACCCTGCAAGCATAAGAAGCATGCCTATCAGCACAAAACGAAACAATGTAACACTTATCCAAAGTGCAATAAAAACCTGAATATCCTATCAGCATTTTGTAATGAAACCTAAATCCGCTCATGAACATCAATTGTACCAGCTCATGAGTCTATTTATTCTTTTTAGAGTTTGACTTTTTGTTTCCCTTCTTCTTTGTGGGAACTTCTTCCCTTACAGCTACCTCCTCATGTGAAGAGCTACCACTACAGAGATACTTTAGTATGGTATATAACACATCTAAGCCAAGAAGTCCACTAGCAGCAAAGAAATAAAGTTTGAATGATTCTTCCCCTGAAAATATATAACAAGTACATGTGATCAACATGTCATTTACATTGTACACATAAATAGTGTTCAATTCCAGCCAATCAGAACATGCTATTTCACATAACTGCATTCCGTTAAATAACCAAGGCAATAACTGGACTCACAGATTGAAATTTCCAACTTGACCCTTGCAAAAGGTTTCATTAAAAATATGTTCTTTTGGTGATTTTGTATCTTTAAGGTGATTTTGAAGAAAATATTTTGCAATGTGTGAAAAAAATTTGGGCAAGACTCAATGCATTGTGGCTGCTTAATTCCAATCAAGTGTTGTTACCTAAACTTTGCATTCCCACTGCACAGTCATGCAAAGATTTGGAGACAACGCCTTCCATTGAAATGATTCAGCAAACAATACACTGATTCCAGCCTTAAATCGTTATTATTATGATATTGATGATATTTTAACTAAGTCCCCCACCATCCAAATACAATACCATACGTAAAATGATAACAGGATATCTATCTTTATCAAAATATGGAAGTAACAGAAACGCATTTAGTAGGAATATGCAATTTCATTAGAACTTAATTAAAGGAAAAAATGTCCTCAGAAAATAGCTCATTTAAAAACATAACCTTTAGTCAAAATGTTCATAGCTAGCTAAATGTCCTGTTTTTATACTATACTGTATATACTATTATACTTGCAATCAAATATTGCTCAACTTGCACAGTAAGGTGCGTTCCCGTGTATCAATTTTAATAGGTCAAAAAATGTGACCACGAAATAGAAGATTTAACTTAATTTTTCAAAGTTTTAGAGGCTGCAACAAAAAGATGCTGACATCAATATTGTTGAGAAAGATATACTACAAAAAATACGAGAATATTGTACAGTTGAATGGTCAAGAAAAGGTGAAACACCTCAGTAAGTGGAACACTTTGAGTGGTTTTAAGGGTGTTCCACTTACACAGGTTCTATTGTATAATACTTACTCTCTTCATTGATTTTACGCCTTTCCTCTGTTGCTCTTGCCTTGTTTCTCTCTTCACTGAGTGATGTGATACATTCAGTATTTTCTTGATCTAAGGCTTTAATCTGTTTATCCCCAATTGCCACTTTGGCATTCAATTCATCAGTACGGGCCTTCATATTGTTAATACACTCATCCTTTGCACTTTCAAGTGAGTTCACTGCCGCTTTGCTTTTTACTAATTGAGCATTTAAGTCCTGGGATGTTGCTTCTGAGTTGATCTTACATTCTTCATTCAATCTCTCGAGTTCTTCAATGTCTTCAGCCTTGACTTGAAGTTTTGCATTCAGCTCATCAGCAGTTGCCATGGAGGCTTTAGTACATTCAATGTGGAGTTTAGAAATGGAGACTTTATCTTCAGCAGTCTTTCTTAGCATGCTTTCAATGCTGACTTTCTCATCTCCACACTTTTTGTTCTCTTCTCTTAAGGTTTCTAGGCTATTGGACAGCTGCTGGTTTTCATTCAAAGCCTGGAAAAATGCATTGGTTGATCAATGTGTGCAATATACATGTAAAAAGTTGCTATGGCAGTCATGTAATAATATGTATTCAGACATAGCTAGGCAAGGTGTGTCAGATTCCAGCCAATCCGAACAGAGTATTCACATAATGAACAGAGTGTGGAATATCAATAACACATGCAAGGTCACTAGTTAAACAGTTGTCATGGTGATGAATGGATTTTTCACATTGGATTTGTAGCTGCTTCATTCCACTCAGGCGTTGTTTCCTAAACTTTGCATTCCCACTGCGCAGTCATGCAAAGGTTTGGAAACAACACCTTTAAGGTATGATTCAGCAAACAATGCACTGAGTCCAGGGCTTAAATCCTTTAAAACAAAAATCACACTATTTTTGTAGAGGAATGCATGAAATATTCAGTTCAGTAAGTAACAGTTATTAACCTATAGTTTTTAAATAAATATTATGCACAAATATTCTACTCCATTAAGGTAAAGAAAATGAAATACTTGTTTTATCATTTACTGTTATGTTCCCCACTCTGTTATTTGGTGAGTCTAAAGGGGCTAAGTTAAGTAATGTTATCAGTCAATCATTTACAATTATTAAAAACCACAACTGGTGAACATTCCCTTATAAACCTGCCTTTTCCATGATGTAATTCCCATAAGCAAGGAATATGCCTCTTTATTTTTTGGTTTATAGTACACCAATCAGAAAGGGGGAATATGGCGGTAAATTCTTTATCCCATGGTTGTATGGATATAGATTAATCAAACATATTGTTCCTGTGATCTCCCTCGAACATATTTCTCTACTTGCACAATGAATTCCCACATCACAAACAACACAGCTTTGTAGTTCGGGATGTGGGGACTCCATTTATGAGTGGAGAAATATGTCTGGGAAAGAGGAATTGGTGGTTCATGAATCATGACTAAAGAATCGATATTTGCATTGTGAGAACCATGGTTCGGGTGAACGGAACGTAATTCGCGAGGTCGGAACTGATGATCATGTTAGTGGAAGTCTAAGAGGCCTGAATAATCACTTGAATAATATTATTTCAAAAGCTTCCAATTTTAACCTTTTTTATTTCAGTCAGAAAAAAAACATATCATGCATTGCATTGTTAATGAAATATATGGTTGCATGGTTACTTTAAAATATTTTAGGACTTAAGTAATAACCTTTCAGACAATCTTTGGCTTTGACATACCAAATATGAAGTAACTAAACAAAATATCCTCTATTAAGGAATGTACATCTCACTGTAATAGATAGCGCTTGCCAATTTTAGTTGGATAATATGAGGTTATATAATGGTTCATTCTGTATATCGTGTTTATACTCGAGTGAGTATATAATATATTCACAAGTGAGCGTAGCGAACGAGTGAATATATTATATTCTCACGAGAGTATAAAATGCACGATATACAGAATGAACCATTATATAATCTTATTATGCCACTCTAAGTTTAATTACAGTTGATTCAAACACAATCATAACAATTATAAAAACCATAAAAATATCCCATAGCCAACTCGGTAATGCCGATGTTGATCTCGATCCATTTATGACGTCACTTGATTCTAGGAACAAAACATACGCCTCGTGCTTCGGTCAATATTCATTAGTTCCCAGAATGCACTTCTACAGTGGTATACGCTGGAGTGTATACGGAGGAGTTGTATACGATGACGATATACCACTCTCCACTGTATATCGTTGTTATAGACCCGTGTTATACAACTGTAATCGGACTTAGAGTGGTATAATATCTGATGCCAAATTGAAACTATACATGATCCTGGACATATAGTAAATAAAAGTTATTAAACTGCACAATACAAAATATTGAACTTAAGTGTATTCAGCCAGAAGCCAATATCCTGACATGACCCCATTCAATTTCATTTACAGAAGCTATTTGCCAAAATTTCTTGAAATGCTATCTGATGGACATTTTATCAAATTTCATCATACAAGTAACCCTTCTGTCCAGGAAAATTGAAGGTAAAATAATTTTAAAATTATTTGAATATGGCCAAATAATGGCTAATCAACTAAATATCAATCAAACAGACAAGCAATGAATCATTCATTCAATCAAAACTTTTGATCAAACACAGAAGCAACATATCAAACAAATATATAAGCAACCAATAAAAATATATTTGCATATTTGTTACTTCCCCTAGCTTTATTTACATTAAAACAATATGCTGTGTTACTTTTCATAGCATTTAATTGTACCTTACTACTTAATTGAATTGTTATAATGCTTATTTTTGGAAGTGAAGTTTCCTAAAATTGATAATTGTGTGCAGGAAATTTCCTGTTTTTCCCACAGGAGGGACATAATGATCAATAGACTGAATTCTCAGGAAATTCAGTCTATTGGATATAGACTAGGGGTCTATGGGGAATCTCCCCAACCTAGAAGTCACATTTTCACATGTAGATTCCAAATATGACATCAGTTTGACTGAATTGTGAATTTTTAATGGCGTAAATCAAGATCATTTCTATTCGCATCTAGGATATTAGACAAACATACAAGCTAACAATTAACATACAGGCAACCTATCAAAAATACAAGCAACCCATTAAAGGTACAAGCCCCCATTCAAACATACAAACAACCAATCAAACATACAAACAACATAATAAAGTAGCCCACCTGTACTAACTTAGCAGCATTTTCTTCCGCTAGTTTCTGGTTTTCATCTGCTCCAGAATTGACCTTTTGGACTGCTTCATCTCTCTCTCTTTCCACACTAGCAAGTTTTGCCATAAGCTCCTCTGTTTCAGTGTGTTTTTGGAGTGTCTGTGCTTGAGCATTAGTGAGCTCTCCCATAACACGCTCTAGCTCATCTTTATATTTGAAAACAACAGCCTCTGCATTCTGCTTTTCTGCAAGTGTAGCAGACAATTCCTCTAGTTGTTCTTTCTGTTTAATGCCAACTTGAGATTCAATGTTAAGTCGGTTGGTTAATTCAGTAATCTGTTCTTTGGATTGTTCATTTTCAGCTCTCAGTACATCAATGTCAATTTTGAGACCTTGGATCTTGTCCATTTCTACTGTGCAAGACACAGGGGGTGTGTCTCCTACAGGAACTGTTTCTTGTGCTGGTTTTGTTTCTGATGCAGCATCTTGAGATGACACTAATACTGACATCAGTAATAAGGAGCTGACACCAAGCATTGTTTTCCAAGATAAGGTCATCATTTTGTCAATATCTGAAAAATACAATTAAACAGAATTATACAGATAAATAAATATTAATTAATAATATGATACCTTTAACCCATCCTTTGAATGAATCCATCATCAAATACTTTTTCTTCTTCTTTCCTTGTTCCGTTGCAGGGAGGAGCAGAAAATGTTACTTTTTGGTGGTGATATAATAAGTCAACACTTCATGGTTAAAGCACAAACCTGTTTCTCCTGCTATTCACTATATGCCAAGCTTTTAATATCACAATATCTTGCAATCAACATATGGTGATGTGGAGCGTTAATATATTCGCTAAAACTGAAATAATTTCATATATGCATGTACACATAAATACATGCATGTACACTGTACAGACAAAATTAATACATAACACAAATATTATTTTATCAAAAATCAATTTACTTACCTAGCCAAAAAATGACAACCTTTTAATAGATCTGCTTTTTTCTAATGATTGTTCATTTAAAAATAATTTATTTGCTTGTTTTTGTTAAATTTGATGTACGAGTTCATATCACACAATAAAATTCTAATAGATCAAATATTCATTTTATTTTGAAGTGGATTGTTCTATGTTAATATAACTTCAATATAAGGTAACAAAGTACTGATAACACTGTAAGCTTCTGTGTATCCCGTGCATAAAATTTCACTCAGGATATATCTCTCTTCATTTCTCTCTTAGATTTAGCAAATTTTGAAACATTGTTGAATTTCATATCTTTATTTCATGTCTATTTGCTTTATTTTTCTTTATCTGTTTTTCACCATTCTAATGCCATTTTTATATTCAAAATATGACACTATCTTTAATGTTAGTCTATTGAATGTTTAGTGTAATAAATCTCTTTTGTCACCTAAATGTTAATTTTTACTAAGGTTATTTATTTATATTCAGGTTATTTATTTCAATACATGTCTATTTCTCTTCATTTCTCTCTTAGATTTAGCAAATTTTGAAATATTGTTGAATTTAATATCTATTTGTTTCATTTTTATTAATTCATTTTCATATATTTCAACCAATCGATACTATATTGTTAGTCTTTTGAATGTTTCGTGTAATAAATCTCTTTTGTCAGTTAAATGTTAATTTTTTACTGAGGTTATTTATTTATTTCAATTTCAATATACAACAGTGCTACTTGAATCATGTTAAAACTGATTTTTTGCTTTACGTGTTCAAAACCAATAGACCAGAATGTTATTTCCTTCACTGTTATTGGTAAACCTGTTGACTAAGTTCTATAAAGATAACAATTGGAACCAGATAATAACTTGTCTTAGCCTAGCTTCACAACCAAGATTAATTATTAACCCATTGTGTACAGAGGCCAATCCCTGCCAGATTCCACAATTAATTGTTGAACATTGTTGATTAATAATTAGTGATCAATATGAACTGCAATATGACTATAGGCTAGTTGTTGTCATCTCCCCCTCCCACGACCAATATCCCCAAGATACCCAGTCAACTCATTGTTATATACAGTAAAACCTGCAAAGTGTATAAGTGGAACCCCTCTTTAGTGGAACACCTCTGTTATAGGAACCATTTCAGAGTCCCAGGATCAAAACTGTACGTGAAAAACTCAAGTACTAAGTGGAACATTTTAGAGGAACCAAAGGTGTTCATCTTATACAAATTTTACTGTACTCCAGAAAAAAGTCAAACCGTAACATATTTGCATATGCCTAAAATTAAAATACTTCCGCGTTGTGATATTTTTACTAACTACTACAGAAATTACAGGCACCTGAATCGTATCATGGTAGACTACCACATCATTATCATCCACTTCACATTAATATCACTAATACTTTACTTACCACTATTGATGTATGGCAAACAACTTCCTCATGTACACGTGGCTAATTTTTCCGAAAGATGTTTACCAATGGTGTATATGGATTTGGCCCTTAACTGGAATACACCTGTTCAATGCTGTCGGATTGACTGCTCATAACACCGTGAGTTGTACTACTGTAAAACTTCTCAGCTGTCTTCAACTTCTGAATTGAAAGCGAGGATGATTAGAGGCTCCCCGGATAAATAACTAACATGTTTTGACCAACATCATTGTGGATCTCATTTTGTGTTACAATTTATGAACCAGGCAGAAGATGGGCCCAAAAATTGATCTTCGTCATCAATTCTTTTTTTGTTGTTTCGAGTTTAAACTTCTGTTTAAAGTTTAAAGTCTACTGAATTCATATGACATAAATAAGCTGAATAAGCCTACAGCAATTTTCATGTATCAAGTAAAAGATGGTGAACCAATGCTAAACTCTCTCCTTGTTAAAATTTCCAAATAAACTGCAATACGTGTTACTATACCCGCCAACGTGACAACTTCTACCTTTGAAAATTCTGTTTTAGTTTGCTTCATTTTTTATCTTATATCCATGCATTTTATTACAATAGCTGGCATATCATCAACATTAATATACATACTTACATCCATGATTGGTGTATGCATTGTACTTACATCCATGATTGGTGTATGTATTGTCGCTGGCTAGAATTGTCTATGGTTCTAGCCAGGATAAAGATACCAGTTCTTCAACTCGACAATGGGAAGAACTGCTCTACCTTAGTGACTAATATGTCATGATATGACATCTAAAAGAGTCGATAAAAGATATATATATATATATTGTACTATTTCAGACTCTGACTATTTTTGACTATCCTGTAAATTCTTTTATGAGGCTGTATATTACTTTTTTCTTATTTCAGTTTTGTTACTTGACATTATACTTTTATATGTCATTTGGCCGTGTCAGTAAAGTGTATCATTATTATTGTATATAATTTTTTTCTGAATAAATAAGAAATAAATGGGCCTTTTTGGATATGCGATGTTTCAAGTCACGAGAAGCCATTTCCAAAAATGTGATTTATGGATCATGACATTTACACAATACTAGTTTTGTATGATTTATAATCCTACACTGTAATATCGTTTTTTGTTGCGGAAAACGAGTTGAAATCTTACAAAAAAACGTTTTTCAAAAAGACCGACCCCACCGACCACCATTGTGTTTTCCACAGGTAGCCTCAAAACCTCAGGGTTTGACGAAAACGATGATGTGTAAAAGACCGGCCATAGGCCTATTTGTAGCCTTGAATTATTTATATAATTCGATTTTACATACATGTAGCTAACGTTTTTTACCCATTTTGTTCTTTTCAATCAAGTTAAGATGATTAAAACGAAAGGCAAGCAAACACATAGTCTCCTGACTTGCCAACCTATCATTTCTACGGGACTCTATCCTAATTTTTACTGAAGATTCAACGTAGGCCTTTCTAATAAAAATGATTTGTTGATTACTAAACACGTTGTAATGTTACGTGCGTTGTCTTTTCAGGATCAAACCTTAAGCATCCCATTGGAAAGCTATTTTTGTCGTATTGAATCTATTTTTTTTATCAGATTGACGTTTAAAACAACTGACGGAAAAATCAAAAAATACGTATTAATCTTTAAAAAGATGTCGACATCGACGTGATTTTAAAAACCGACAATGTTAAGTGTGTTAGTAGACTTTTGTTTTTTTGTTATTTTCATACTGAACATATAATGTACTGAGACATCGCTTAAAAATATGACATTACAGATGTTACGTTTATCACTGTGCTTTTCATCGTGATTTAAAATGGTTTAACACATTTTAATCACGACTTTGTAAAGGTACTTTAGTTATTGGATTCCTAGTTTTTAGTTTTATTTTCCTCTTCTAACATTGCATCTATTTGTTTTTAGTAGACAGCCGACCACCAGTCACGCTCCACAGTTGGATACACGTGGTCGGTGGTCGGCAGTCGGTCTTTTTCAACCCTACTGAAAAGATTGCACATGTTGGGCTTCCGAAAAAGACCGACCCCATCGACCGGTCGATGTGTTCAACAGGTAGCCTCAAAACAGGATTTGAGGAAAAAGTGTAGAAGACCGACCGTATCATGTGCAAAAGACCGACCATATTTGTAACCTTAAATTATTTATGTAATTCGATTTTCAATACATTTCAATCGTAGGCAACGTTTTCTACCCATTTTGTTATTTTCAATAAAGTTTCAAAATAGTTAAAACTAACGGCAAGCAAACATTTAGGTTCCTGACCTGCCAACCTATCGTTTCTATGGGAATCTATCGTCTTAATTTTTCACTGAAATTATCATAATGATAGTTCATAATGTAATATAATATATTACAGACCACGACGATCGTTTTCATGTGCGTTTCATCGTGATTTAAAATAATTAAACACATTTGATTCCTATTTTTCAGTTTTTTCCTCTTCTAATTTTGCATCTATATTCATCTTCGGTCTTTTTCGTAAACCCCATGTTCTTTTCTAGTACAAAATAAAGTATGAAGGCATGTGTGTTCCTTGCTTTTTCCATGAAAGTATCATTTCATTGTCTTATTTTAGAAAATTTGAATACATTCCTAGAAATAGAAAAAATGATTTTAAAAGCAATATATTTTACCTTTTATGAACACCATTTTTGTTTCCGACATTTTTTCAAAATTTTCAAGCTTGAAATTGGTCAAATATTCTGAAAAATCCAATCTATTCTCTTCAGTGACCTCTCCTAAAGGATAACTTTTAACTATTTTCGGTCACAATTTCAGAGGGCAGAAAAACTAGTCATGATGTTCAGGGTCTTTTGATTATGACCATTGGCATCCTGGTCATGTATCTTCTATTTTATGAGAATGTGACATGTTAAAAAATGAGTCTCGTGAAGATTTAATTGGGGTGACAAAAACGTGGCACATGCCATTAATATGTAAGTATGCGATCCGTTGAAGTAAGCTCCACATGGCCACCTACTCTCAAACCGAATCAGTCTCGGGGACAGCTCGATCCCACTCACTTAGTCTTGCTTCAAGACTTTGTACTTGGAGAGGGGCTCACAAATACCGCTCCCTTTCCCTTTAGTTATGAACTACCACTACTACTATTTACTTTATAAATGGGACGAAGCTCTCTTTTAAGAAGCGAAGTCGAAATAATGCAAATGATACATTGTTCCGGCACCGAAACCTTCCGACACAAAAATTAACTACCGGACTAGTCAGTCCATTTGGTGCCGAAACGGCACCGGAATTTGGCACCGAAACGGCGTCGAAAATCAGATTGCATTTTGGTGTAGTCCGTTAAGCAAGGAAGATTGGATCCCAGAATGCAATTCCGATATTCTGCCACATATGGGCATCATTGCAGTGTACAAAATTCAAACAGTCGACATTTCTCAATCTTCTCACTCCAGAAGAATCGCAAGAAAATTTCAAACACACAAGAAGTGATCGAGATGTTAGTTCAAATCTTTTGATTGCAGATATCGATGTTGCATTCTGGCTTCCAATCCTCCTTGAGTCTTAATTAATGGCTTCTAATGTAATCACTACATTAATGACTTACGTATACAGTGTTTAATCCCACCGTTTTCATTTGTTCTCCACTACAAAATATAACCCGCTTCAACCCTTGTGAGCACATGAACAGGGGCGCCGAATTTTCAATTAGTTTCTGAACAGTGTTGAACATCAACGGTTCACTTGTGTAAAAAGTAAATATACGTATTTTTCTCCTTTTCCAGCGAATACCGCTATTTGAAGAAAATTATATTGTAAATGTTAGAAATGGGGTAACATCGATGTTCTGTTTAACTTAGATATACACTGCAACTCATTGATCCATCGTTATTACGAACAAACATAGATGAGTAACCATCCGGTTCTCCCAACCAGCTTCATGAGAAATCATGGCCTTCTATTAGCTTGTCTCTATATTTCTAGTTGAAGGCAGAAAGATGTGATGAGTATCAAAGACCAACCAGTCTTTGCGATGTGGAGGAGAAGACTGACCTGTAGTGTCTTGTGACTTATGAATATAGACTAATACTTTATATGGAAGTTGAACAGCGAAACAGGATTGAAATTGAACTTAACAGTGCCACTGGGGGGTATCGTGATGCAACAACACCGTGTTGTTGCATCAAGATGGCCAGACTTTCGGTGATAGATTTTCGTACGATGTTTTGTTTCCCAATTTACACCCATTTCTAGGACGAGTTGCTCAATAATTATACACATGCAGTTAGCGCATGATCTATATTTTAAAAAACTGTCATTGGTATACATGTAGCATCATCAAGAAGCGATAAATTCGTGGTTTTAATTCCTCACTATTGATGCAACAACACCACTCTGTTTCTTATCGATGATGCAACAACACCAATGTGCTGATGCAAAAACGCCAATATAATGTATCGTTGAACAACAAGAGAAACTGTTTTATGTTCTGTTTACAGGTGTAGGTCGGGACATGAATAAAACGCGTGAGTCAGTGGTCCATGAACGAAACGTATTTTGTTTTGTTTCTTTGTCTATATCAAAGTTAAAAGGATATACAAGGCAAACTAAATAAAGTACAGAATCCCCGGGAGGCAATCTCATTGATATTGTATCTGAAAAATAAAGATTATACATTTTCTAAATTAAATGCCCTTGCTTTACCGTATGGAAATTGCTTACAAATAACTCATATAATTTTGGAAAGACAACAGATATCAGTCATTTTTGGTTGTTAGTACCTCAATTGAAATACTCAATTCTGATTGGTTGATGAGCGGGCAACAAAATGTTTTGTTAGTACCTCAACTGAAATACTCAATTCTTATTGGGTGATTAGCGGTCAAAATTATGTACTGTTGACCGCTACTACGTACTGTTGACCGCTACTTCTGAAAAAAGTTTCATGACGTCACCAAAAAACATGGAAGACGGACATTTTGTAAACGTTGATGAAAATGACTTTACTAGGGACAAGTATAGCAAAAATACAAATAGAAACTTAAAATTAACATTAATTCACAAACGAGTACGCCGTGATGTGCCAAATACAGAGTTAAGCTACTTGCACCGTCTCCATATTTTCTAAAAATATTGCTAACGTGGTTCGGAGAAAAGGTTGTGAAATGAAGCCATGCCGATTGATGATTGTTGTCTATATGTGTATTATTAGTTTACTCGGACTAACAAAACAATTGTAGACCTCTCCATTCGATCAACCGTCAAAATCATATACCTCGACTGTAAACCTTGAAACTACTGTTGACAGAGACCCAAGGTCTCTGTCAACAGTAGTTTTTCGGTTTACAGTCTCGGTATACAATTTTGCCGGTTGGCCTCTGGGGAGGTCAACAATTGTAAACTGTTGACCACTACTAGGCAGTTGACCCCTATTTTTGAAAAATTGTTTTTTTAATGTTGAAAGTTTTTTAATTTTGAAAAATAAGTTGTTTAAAAAATTACAAGCATTCGACGGTTTGGGGATTTTTTGCTAAAATATGATACCTTTACTTCAAATATGTTCACGTGATATTCGATTATATATTCGTCCAATTATTATATTATTTGGACTAACAGAACAATTGTTAACCTCTCTTTTCGGTCAACTGGCAAAAGTGTCCTCGACCTCTGGTCCTGATCAACAGTACTTTCAAGGTTTACAGTATCGGTATACAATTTTGCCAGTTGACCTTAAGAGAGGTCTACAATTGTATATTATATCCTTCAAATTATTATATTCTTCGGACTAACAAACAATTGTTAACCTCTCTATTCGGTCAACTGGCCAAAGTGTATACCTCAACAGTAAACCCTGAGAGTACTGTTAACCTCGACCTCCGAACTTTCAAGGATTACAGTATCGGTATACAATTTTGCCAGTTGACCTCAAGAGAGGTCTACAATTGTATATCGTATATCCTTCGTTATCCCACCCAAAGTATGTTGTATACGCTGCTCAGGAGTTTACGCAATCCAGGAGTTGTACATCGTTCTCAAGAGTTGTATAGGATGAGTGTTGGTTTAATGATATTGCAGTTATACAGTGCTATTATATAAAGGTTATTTACTGAGAGGTATTCAATATTGGTTTTATTTCGAGAGACAATATGATATTTCCCGAGGGCCCGGGATATCTGGGATAACTGTACCCCTATCAATTTACCTTTTTGGGCCCTAAATCTTATCACTTTTGTTTACCTTTTTACTCAGTCGGAGAGAAGGAATCCAAAGAGAGCAATAATTCTACACGTGCGTCGGGCAAGATTTCCATTAAACGGGTAACTAAACGGCCTCTCTAATAAAGTCAATTAAACGTTTTTACACGTTGGCTCTCCAAATTGGAGGAAATATAAGAATCATATCATATTATATCATAGATGAAGCAATCATCCCATCAACATAAGCTCACGAATGTCATAGTTAAACTGTTTTAGTTATAATTTGATAAACAGTGGTAACGTACATCTACTAGTTTATCACTGTTCCACAGATGGATGACAGATAATATCCAATAGCTCATCATGTTTACCGAGAACGAAAGATGTTTGTCCACCATTTTGAATGATACTAACTGGAGTCAGGGTCATCAAGCTATAGGGCAGTGGTTTATGAAAATAGATTGGGTTACTGAAGCTTGCCATGTTAAAGGCGATTGAACTATGTTATAGAACAACGTCCAGTACATTATAATATGCATATGTAAGAGTATACATTTTTGAAAATACATATAAAGGATCTTCGCCCGCAGGACGTATATTCTGAATGCCTTGAGAAGAACGCAAATATGGGTAGGCTAATTGGTAATGGTGTTGCAATAGTAGCATTTAAAAATCTGTTCCTCTCGAGATTTATGGTCTTCTGAAATTATACTATTCATTGGTGTTGCTGCATCATTGCTCAAATCTAGAGGAGTGTTGTTGCATCTTCGGTTTGGTGTTGTTGCATCAATAGTGAGGAACTAAAACCGTGAAGTTATTGCTTCTTGGTGATGGTACATGTATACCAATGACAGTTTCTTTAAATATAGATCATGCGCTAACTGCACGTGTATGGTTATTGAGCAACTCGTCCTAGAAATGGGTTTAATTGGGGAAACAAAATATCGTACGAAAATCTATCACCGGAAGTCTGGCCATCTTGATGCAACAACACGGTGTTGTTGCATCACGATACTCCCCAGTGAGTGCGTGATTTGGATACAACAAACGTCGGCATTCTCTGATCTGAGGCACGGCCTTTAGAATGCCATAATGGTATGATCAGAAAAATCATCCGATTGTTACTGTAAACTATAAGTTGTTTCAATTCAATAATGTGAAGAGGTGTTCGCTCCGCTCGCACGACATTCAGTGAATAAAGGAAGTAGTTTGATACTCATCGCATCATCTAACAGGCGACCTAGAATGAAGAAATATATATCACATGTTATCACTAGGCCTAATATTGAATCTCAATGTGTCCTAAGTTGTATTTTACAACGATAGTGTCGATTCTTTTTTTGAGTTTTGAGCATAAACAACATCCAAAAATAAAAAATTCGAGATGAGGAAGCCCTAGTGTAAAACTAAACGCACGCTCGTGAAAACCATTCCATGATCTAATCGAAATACTAATATAATTTCGAACTAAGTACTAGTATGTAATCTGGGATGAAATTGTGTAGCTCTGTGTTTATACAGATGATAAAATTTTGATTGAAATAATATAAAGCATTTCATTTATTACTGGTAATTACAGTAAAACTTGTGTATAGTGAACATTTTTTTGCCAAGGAAAAACGTTCACTGTAGGTAGGTGTTCACTAGAGAGAGGGTAATTTATACAGAAGTCAGTGGACTATGTGCGTAGGAAGGGTGTCCACTAAGGACAGGTGTTCACTAGAGAGAGGTGTTCATTAAGACAGGTTTTACTGTATAATGATGTTCTCATTGAGCGAATCTACCTTTTAATCAGTCTAAACTTTAACTTTACCTGAATGATAAATTGTTCAGAGGATGAGGATTAGCTTTATCTCTACGATACTTTGTAACATGTAGCCTGAAGTATACATGCCAGCTTACACCCTTCGCCAGAGACTGACTAGTCTACACTCTTTCAATTAGAATCTATTAGTAGGCAGAGATGATGAAACAGCCGAAATAAGTGATTTTTGAAATGTTACCAAGCCGGGGAATTTCAGTCACAAATTCCATGTTGATTTTGGAAATACAGGCAGGGTGAGCCAAAAAAGATAGTCCAAACCAATCTTAAAACTCAGTCATCCATTTAAGTCATATTTGGTACGCTTGAACCTTGTTCAATTTTCTCTCAAGTTTCGTTTGTCTATTTCAAATGATGACGATTTTATGGCCATCTTACAAAACATGCTCCAAATGCCCAAACATACTAATATCATCTAGCATTAACCCCCGGAATTTTATCGTAGGGGCTATGTCAAAGATAATGTGTACACTAACAATTAACCCTAAAGACATTAGAGATTTAAAACAAGAGATTAGAAGGGAAAGGAGAGCCATACACAGGATATCGTTAGCAAGAAAACTTCTCCCGATGCGTTCAAGCTTACCTCTAAAGACAAGATCGGCATTTTGAGCATGTTTTGTAAAATGGTCATAACATCTTGCCAATTCCACCGGTGAAACCTGGTGGAATGAAAGAAGATTGAACAAGGAGAGAACTGAGTTATTAAGATATTTTGGCGTTTTTGGCTTTTTTTGGCTCACTCTGTATATTGCTTCCATTTTCGTTTTGTGCATCTTACATTGTTTCGCTGATTCTAAGTTAATCAATTGCAAAATATACAATGTAGAAATATGGATGTAATATGATATTTTAATGGATTTGCTAAAACGCTCAACATCGGCCTATAACAATGGCAAGAAATCAAATATTACCTAACTATTAACGTTATTGACATTCACTTGTAATTAAAGCATTCGAAGACTTATAACACATCACTTAAAATACATTGGAGATCATTAGGATTGAGATTCATCAGCATTACACCGTAGTCGACAGAGGGTGGTGTGCAAGCTAGTTGGATTCAGGATAGCAGATACTCAGTGATGACTATAGTTTCCGACATTCAACTTCAGTCATTCTGTATCTCCGCTCATCAAATGTAGCGTAGATGAAGCGAGCAACAGCAACACAAAACAAGATAAAACTATTAGAAACTCATTGAACGTTCACGTTTATTCGCCAGTTTGGTGGAAGACATCCGCCTGGCACCTCCGTATATTTTTGGAACGGACAACAGTAAGAGACAAAACATACACCACATACGGCTATTATTTAATTATTTTTAAGAGGTTAGAATTTAGATTATGGAAATTAAGGTGAAAGCTTACCAACCAAATGGCACTGAATTTGAAGCGTATAATACCGTACGTCAAGTGTCCAATCTTGACGATGCAGACACTGGCAAACAATTTATTAATACGCATGATGCTTGTGGTACGACAAGCGTTGGCATCGGAGTTACGCCGCAGACGATGGTTTTAAACATAGGGGGTTCATTACACGAAGTGACCCGATCGACTCTACTAAGATTCCCCAAGACGAAACTTGCAAGACTAGATGAGTCAAGTCCTCATTTTCGTGCTCACAAAGGAGATTATTATTTCGATCGTTCGCCCGAAATGTTTTCATCCATTTTAAATTATTATCGTACGGGCGCCTTGCATTTACCGAACAGACTGTGTGGGCTAGCGTTCCAGGAGGAGTTGGACTTCTGGGGTATTGAAGAACAGGACATCGCCAGTTGTTGCTGGGGAAGTTTTAAAGAATCTCATTGTGTCAAGAGCGCCTTGGAAGGATTTGAGAAATGCTTCAACAATGCGCTTGAATCGGAAGAAGGCACGGCTGATAAAGGGGTTGAGCGTCGTCAGAAATGTGCGAGTGGGATGAGGCAGAAGGTTTGGTTGGTAATGAACGACCCAACGAGCTCCACAGCTGCGAAGGTTGGTATGATATTTATTACATCAAATGTACGAACGTTGGTGTGAATGGACATCGGTCACCAATCCAGATGTACAAGGGAAGGAGGTCGTATTAATTTATGCTCCTACTCTCCATTGATTTATATGATGACCTCTTTCCCTTATTATCTTACACAATCAGGGCCAGTAAGGGCCTTTAAAAAGGGGGAGCATAATCCCTGGGGGACCATCATTTCTTTCACACCGGGTCACCAATGCATTGAAGGAACTCGAAGGGAAAGTGACGAGTTTTGAGTTAGTTTCGTCACAATCGTTATAATATTCTTGCACTCACCATACCACGCTATCAATATTTTCTAAAAATATAAATCTCCCAATATAATATCATTGGATAATACTTGGATTGATTTTGTTATCTGACATTGAAATGTTGACTTCTCATTTTCAATTCCAATGATTAATTTGGACATTTCTAGGACTTAAATCTTCAATAAATTGTGATGGGAATGAAGCTTCGAGCTTTGTTGTTTAAATAGCTCTGTGGGTTCTTCATAAAATAATATGGATTGGTCTTGTAATGTAAAAAAGACAAGATTAACACAGAATTAATATACTCATAAAACTGTACTTTATTCCAAGTAAAAGACTAAACATGTACAATTACACTCTTCAGTGTAAAATAAAACTGTTCAAAGATAAAGAAAGAATGAAAATGAGATTAATAAGATGAAAAGAAATGATGTGTGATGTTCCCCCCGATCTAACTCTCTACTGAATGAAGCCCAAAATTTCTGTTAAATACCCCCAAGTTATAGGAAATGAAAGGCAATCCCTTACCCTACAAAACCTATAAGAAACCCATTGAAAGATGGCAGCACAATACGGTGAATCAACATGAAAAATGCTATACAACCCCCACCCAAATAAAATGACAATTCTCCTGACATTGTACGTACTAAAAAAACTGAAAATATGCAAAATCTAAATAAATGTATATGATATTTTAACAATGTCCTATAAACGTCGTCATAATAAACCATATTATTATATACCCAATATGTAACACTAATCCTGATTGGTCAATACCTAGTCACGTGTTCCGAAATAGATTTACTATTTCCCTCGGAAAGTTATATTCCCTCAAATGTGACATCAGCGGGAATATACATTTGAACTATTGCCCGCTGACGTCACAATTGCAAGTTATATTACCCTTGGAAACGTCTGCGCATCATCACTGCGCAGACGAAAAACAGAAAAATGTAGGATGAGCACAAACACAAATCAACTTCGTTCACCATGACAGACTTGCGTGAACGATACAATATAAGCAACGTGTATAAAGTTCCCTAAGCTCCATACGTCTGTGTAATTTCAAGTGTTATGATAATCTATTCCGCGTGTTAAACGCGATTGAATTTGTCAAGTGAGAGTCTCAGAGGCAAAAAATTCTGTTGAGCATCTGATGACGTCACAGCTTATAATGCTAACAATGGACCCGGGGAGGGGGCTTTCTAAGCCTTTTTGGCCTTCACAGAGAAAACGGGACAAGAGTACGGTATAGGGTATATAATAAAACAAATAGTGACTGCCTAATTTCGAGCAATAGTGTAAATGATTTCCCCTTGGGAATATCCTCTACAATGTACTATTCCCTCAGCCTGCGGCTTCGGGAATAGTACATTGTAGAGGATATTCCCTCGGGGAAATAATTTACACTATTGCCCTCAATGGCAGTCACTATTTGTATAATAAGTTCCGATTTTATAATCCGCGTATCTAGTCCTGGATCCAATGCGATGCTGTAATACGTGCATCTAGTCCACGATGTAATATTTTCGAATCCAAAATATGCACCGTCTTAGTAGTCGAAATAATATCCATAATCCGTATATCACATGCACGTCCGCATCGTGTCCATTATCGAATATGTCCGTATCCTCGCTGAAGAATCCATAATAAAATATCCATTTCCTTGTAGCAGTGTTCATAATAAACGTTTTCGTTGGAGAAAAGAATTGTTCATAATAACAGGAGATCGTACATCTTCAGCTCCTTCATCAGTTGTCGAAATCCTCTGTGGCTCCACTCCATCCGAAATCTGCGTCGTCTGCATCTCCATAAGACATAGGCATCGCCTTCACAGGTCATCTTCATCGCTTCTTCACGGTTAGGTATTCGTCATCTACTTCAGGTCGTCATAGGAAATCGCTTACTGGGATCCCGGGCAATTAATTTTTTAATTCTCAAAAAGTTCTCCAAAAGTGTCTTTAAGAAACATTTTTCTTATTAACATGTCTTTAACTTGCTTTTCTATGTGACATAAACAAGTCTTCTACGTGTTCTAAACTCTTCATGAATTTAATTTTCTTCAAGACATCAATTTCTCTTCATTGACAAGTAACTAGTCTTTCTATCTCTTCAACATACAAACTTTTCACTTGACTTGTCTTTCATGACTGAGCGTTTTTCAACTCTTCAACTCTTCTAGCAACTCTTCAACTTCAACTCTTCATATAATTATTTACATTTTCTCTCTATTCTTCAAAATGATCTCTGATTGTTACTTGTGAAACTTGTCTTTATCTTTAAAATGCACTGAGTGGTTAGTCTTTTAAAATAAAAGATGCAAATTGCTTACGAACAGTAAGAAAGAATATAAATATGGCTTAACATGTTTTCCATAATAGGCAGGACAAATTCCAAAAAGTAATAACACAATTATACATATCTAGCGATTTAACATTAACATCAATAATGCAACATGGGTTTCAGACTCTGCCAAGATTACTAAAACCTTTTCATCAGGTCGCCCCCTCTTGCTAGGACTTTGTTTCCGAAAGTAAATCAGTAACACCTCAGTGCACAATATATAGCATTTTACTTTTGATTTTCCAAAGAATTCTATATTTTCATACTTAGCGCTATGTATTGCACAAATACAAACAAATTGCTATATTCAAATATAAATGACTAATCTCTCATGTATTCATTTCACTAAACCTGATGATTGATGGCTGTCATAACAAAATCTCGTTGTAGGATCCACAGTTTGTACTTTCTTACAAAACTGAGAAAACCACTTGCCTGGGCTTCAATTCAATTCTCTATTGAACCCTAAATTTGACAATTTATGATCGTCATCATAACATTATCCAGTTGCCGCTCAGGAAATAACCATAATATTTCGAGCATGTACATGGCAAAATCTCATAACAAATAGTGTGGAATAAAACAATAAAATGCAAAATCAGAAACTTAAAGACAAGATATCCCAAAGATAACATTATCCCGTCCAGCAGGAATATGTTTCTTGATAGACTAAAATCATCATAATCTTATGATGCAATTTCCACAATACACAAACAGAAAAACATGCGATATACTTTTATGCTTTCGCATTCTCAAAAGATACAACTTGCTCACTGTAAGTAATATTTAAAATCATTAGCCATTTGATTCCTCTTAAAGTCATAGCAAAATTATTCTCCAACCCTGGTTCATGAGGCCGAGTTTAAAACAAAACTGCACTAATTCTACATAATACCGAGTAATTCCAACTAATGTTACTGTTAGTGCACGTGGGCTAACTGATACCTATAATTCAACTTAGATGCGATATCCAAGGATAAATATCAGTCATTCTACCCCACTGCTTTACATGTGGATCATTTGTTACCTATGATTCAACTTAGATGCGATATCCAAGAATAAGTAACAACCACACAACCTCGATTTAAAACAACATTGAACTCTTCTTCTAGCTAACTTATCAACTTAGATGCAATATCCAAGAACACATGACAAGAAGCCGACTTTACATCTCATCATTTAAGTACCATATTAAAATGCCAGGCCTTACTACACGAATGGAATATGAAATTCCATCATAATTTTCTATAACAAACCACCAGTCTCAAACTACCCCCTCCATTTTCATGGAATTTCATATCTCTTAATAAAACCAGATAAAACGATCCCTATGTGTATTTTCGACAAGCACACGTTTAATTACTGTAAAACATAAATTGTCTTCAGAAATCTCATTTTACAAGTTACTGTACTCTTCAGTCTTTTTGTTATTTGCTTACTTTTAATTTTTTAATTCTAATTGTTTACTCTTTATTGTTACTTCTAATTGCCCGGGCAACCACATATTACAAATCTCATTCATCCATTCATCAGCGACACAAAACAAACATGCATTCTTGCCAAATACGGATGTTTGACTCTTTCTATGCATAATTAATAAAAAAAAATGTTCTTCAATACTACAAAATGGTCCTGTTTTCATACTTGAAAGGCTTTACCTCCCCTGAACAATTCTTTTGCAATTCATGTTTTCATCCACTAGCCATTAAAATATACCTATATGCAATTCCATTGAGAGTTTGAAATAAAAGATCTTTTAAGGTACGCGTTGATGATTTTATTTACTTTTTTTGTTGTTGTTTGTTTTTCTTTTAAATAATCATGAGGTAAACAACGTTGTCATCCATTTAACTAACTATTTCCTTTTTATATGTATATACATTATTTACATTTTCGACTAATTAATCAATTAGTCCCATCCATATCTTGTAGGCGCTCTTCTATTTCTTGCATTTCGCCTCAATACACCATTTGATGGTTTCTTATCTTCATTTTGATTTTTAGTAGAAACCATGGTGTCGCTATTTGAGTCTTTTTCTTCTTGAAGACTGACATGTTTATCTATCCCATTTATTTCACTATCTTCGTCATTTTTGTAGGTTTCAACCTCATTTTCTGTTTGTTGCTCTTCTTCATTTAACTCTTCAGTTGAAGATTTCATTTCTTCAACAAATGACGTCTGAGTGTTTGCATCACTGAATTTAACACACTCGTCTATTCCCTTTTCATGAATTTCCCAGGTTTTAAACTCGTCACCATGGTAACGTTTCAACTTATCATGATGTATAATTCTCGGTTTTGACCTTACTGTCTGTTGTATTTTATACACGACATCTGATATCTTTTTAACAACCATATAGGGTCCTGTCCAATGACACATCAGTTTGAAACTTTTTCCTTTTACTCTTGTTGGATTATACATCCATACGACATCGTATTTCTTATACACAGTTGCAGATAAACGCGCGTTATGCTGACGTTTTTGCCTAACGTGAGCTTTTTTCAAACAAACTCTTGCATGGTTGTACGAGTCACGGAAATTTTGTCTTA